CCCGCCCGCCATGTTCTCTCAGGAGGCTCCGCGCCCCTCCCCGTGGGGCCCTCGGGCGGTCGCGGGGCCCCCAGCGCCTCCCCCTGGCCAGATGCAGCCGGATGCCCGCGCCCCCCTCCCCACTCACATCCTCGGCGCCCGCCGCCGCCACCGCTCCCCGACCCCGTCGCGCTCCACAGACGCGTCCCGGGCGGGAAGGGCCCGAACGGCGCAGGTTGATGGCGTCACCAGTTTGGGGGGGGGGGGGACGGGGACAGACGGACGAGGGAATTTAAAGGGACAGAGCGGCCCGTTCCCGCGGGCCAGGTAGGGGTGTACGTTCAGCTCCGTGTCCGCTTGAGCCCCGGCAGCCTCCAGCCCAGCCCAGCCCGAGTCTCCTCCCGTCCCCCTCTGCAAACGCCCTTTTCCTCGGTCCGAACCTGTCTAGCCCCGGGCCACCCCCACCCGCGGTCGGTGCAAGGTGCCGCATCCTTCATCTCAACCGGCGTTTTAAAGCCCGGTGGATGCCAGTCCCCCCGCCCCAGTTCAGGAGCTTCTGCAATAAGTGGTGGGGCTGAGCTCTGGTGCTGCCGGGGCCCGTCTTGTGCGAAGCCCGCGCTGACCCGGCCTGGAGCTTTCCGCCGGAGACCGAGGGGGGCTGCCTGCCGCGAGGCCTCCCGTACTCGACCTGTGCCGCTTCCCCTCTGCCTTGCGGCTCGGCCGGCGCACGCGAGCTGATCGGGCCCCGAAAGACTCACCAGCACGTCCGAACAACAGGCTGGGCAGAGCGGGTAGCAAGAGCAGGATCGAGCCGGCGGCTGGGCTCGGCGGAGAGCTGCAGGGGAGCAGCCGGTGTTCGGTAGGAAAGGAGCCGTGGTGCTGAGCGCCTGGGTGAGAGAGAAGAAATGGTGCCATTGCCGCAACAAGGTGCGTGGCAGAAATCGTCTACTTGAAAGTGCTCTTAAGTCAGCTCTGCAGCCCTTGTTTTCTATCCAGTCTAGCAACCTCAAGTGTGACAGTCCCAGTATGCACCTCTGATCCACCAGTCAAAACATTGTGCACCTGCCCATGCCCCGTCCACAGAGAACGGGAACCTGGAGCTAGTAAAAGATGCGTCCGTCCCCGGCCTCAGCCCGGACAGGAAGCCGCACGGCGGGCGCAGAGAGAAGCAAGCCTGGCTGAGGGAAGGCTGCTGCTTGCCCTACTCCGTGCGCGGTCCCCGGGAACACGCGCACTGGCCCCATTATGCCAGACCCTGGTCCATGCAGCCTGGCAGCTCCTTCCCAACCCTGAAGCAGAGCTGTCCTTGAAAGAGTTAAGGCAGGGCCCCTCCCCTTTGAATGCATAAACCTCACTCCTGACCTTCCCAGCAGCCCTTGCTGGCTCTCCCCCAACCAAACAAAGAGGGCAGGAGCTTTTCAAACAGGAGCTTTCCACAAAGTTGAGTAGTGCGGTGAGGACACCAGAGGATGTTGAAGAACTGGTCTGCTCCCAGGTCTGTGCTGTCGAAGCCCGGCTGGAGAGAGCAGCAGTATTAGCACTGGTTTAATGCCTTCCTCCAAAAGGGTTGTGGTGATCTCTCCTGGTTTCCTGCATGTAGATACTTAAGCGGTTTGTATGCATGTTTACTCCTTGGCTTTAAATTGGTTTGGTTGTTGGGAATGCAGTAAAAGGATAGAGAGGAAATGCAGGGGGAGTCTATGCAGGAGGGCTTGCTGCCTTGGGGAGTGTCAGCTTATGTTATGCTGTTGGATTCCTTAGCGCTGCACTCTGCTTTTATCACATTTGCATATCCCTTGAGGCATAGCTTGGCTGCTGTAAATGGGGTCCCGGCTGCCTAGTGGCCTGTGTGTATAAGTATCCAGCAGGAATGCTGAAAGACTGTTGTCATGTGCCTGAATTCACACAGCAAGTCAGTATCTTGCTTGGGGTGAGTAGTTGGAGACAGCAGCATTGCCTAAACCGGTATTTCTCACACTGGGGTGTGCAGTGAATTTCTGGAGGGCATGTGAAGCTCCTGGGGAGCTTGTAGTGTGGTTGCAGGTGCATAAGACGTGTTTTATTACACATGTCATGGAATCCTAGGGGTATGCAGCAACATAGCAATTTAAATAGGGGGGCGTGATGCACACTTCTGAAGGAATGAGGAAGGGATGGACTTTAAGAGGTGCTGATTTCTGATTCTGCCTTGTACCCTGTGCTAGTTCCTTCATTTCTGGTTCCCCATTTGTACACAGACATAATAATACTGCTGCCTTTGCAGGTGTGTATGTAGAGGTGGTGGGACTGTTGGGGATTAATTAGTCCATGTTTGTAAAATGTCACTTATGGGTAAATATTATTGTCATGTGGATTAAACCCTTTAGTGACTCAGTGCTGCATCAATTTTAATTAGTTACACACAGGTGTTTATAGAAAAGGGTGTCCTGGTTGGATAGTAAGCAAGTGACTTGTTAGCTAGTGCTCTAATTTTGCAGCCGGCTAAAGCACTAAATTTTTATTGTCTCTGTCTCTAATTATACAAAGTGGAGGAAGATACTAGCACCATAGTTTTGCATGGCAAGACAGTGTAGCACCATACCAGCCCTGCAAAGGGCACCTCTCCCCCAACCAAACAAAGAGGGCAGGAGCTTTTCAAACAGGAGCTTTCCACAAAGTTGGGTAGTGCGGTGAGGACACCAGAGGATGCTGAAGAACTGGTCTGCTCCCAGGTCTGTGCTGTCAAAGCCCGGCTGGAGATAGCAGTGCCAACTCCTCAGACAGTGTCTCAGCTTTGATCTTTGGACCCTACTTTTTATGTTTAAAATGAGGGGTTGTGTGACTCTCTCTGCACATGCCTGAGGGAGATTACATGGGTGTTTGCACTTTCCGTGCAAAGTGACATGCATGGAATCAGGTGCATGTCACTTTGATAGTAAATAAATCACACAGCCATGAGGATTTAATTTCTGTGCTCTGAAAGTTGTAAACCTTTCACTTGAATTGCATAGAAAATCCTGGGATTAAAAGCAGTTGCTGCAGGGGACAGAAATGCAGTAGCTGCAGTCATTGGGCACCTAGCTCTGAAGCTACAGAAAAGGGATTTTTCCTTGCTTGTTCTTAGATATTGCATCTTCTGAAAATAACAGACAACATCCACTTGGCTGACACTGGGAAACACACTAGAACTTCTGCGTGTCTTTAACTATGGACTCTGAGCTTGCTTTGTGTCCTTTGTGTCCACTGTAGTTTTTATATTTGCTTTTTGGTGACAATCTTGCTGCTAGTTCATATCCACAGCTTCTAATGCTGTACATGGGTGAAGATGTGTGTGCAGCAGTCTGTTTTGATCTGGCCCTGAAAATGTACAGTGAAGTGTGTGCCTTTGTTTTTTTTTCTTCAGTGACATTTTGAAAGTGTGCCTTGACTGTATAAATGTTTGCTGAGTATTGAACTTCCTTAAACACCTTGATCATCTACAAAGAACAAGGGTTTACATGACTGTGTGATGACTTCCTTGTCTTTTCTTCTAACAAGTTCAAGACCCCCAATAAGTTAAAGAGGTGTGTGCAATTCTTAATCTTGAAGTCCCCCAAGCAGAAAAGTGTTTCTGGGGAAATTGGAGACTTAGAGTTACAGTAGCATTTTTAAGCCAGGTCACTAACAGGGAGCAATTCTCCTTCATGTACTTTTTGGACATGCGCTGTTCAAGTAAGCACAATGAATTTGTCACATCTCTGGATTTGCTAGCTGATAAGTCCTCAGAACTCAAAGAAACTCTTGTGGAAGAAATGTTCATGTCTTCCTCACTTGTAGTTTTAAGCAATCTAATTTGGAAAATTGCTGCTTCTTACTAAGCAAACCTCCTGTGTGTGCTTTTATGCTGGTTTACAAACTTTTAAGGTCATAATAAGTTTAAAAAAATATTTAATTCAACTTTTATTTTTAGGTCTCCTTCTATTTAAGGATCTCAGTGCTTTATGAACATGTTTGCTTAGCCAAACCCCTCTCTGAGGTAGTCTTTCTGGGCTTTGTATTCTCCATTTGTATCATGGAGATTAAATGCCTTGTCAAAGGCTACATAGAGATAATGCTTGGTTGTGCTACACCAAATATCTTGCTTCCAGTTGTTCTGCCTTCTCTATTAGTCTGTCCATCCTTGCTTGAGTCTGTCCTTCCTTTGATGTACCAGCAGCTGATGTCTAAAGAAGTGGAGGTGTTTGTTCTGCTCCTCCCCTGTGAAGGATAAGTCATCACGGTTCACATAACAGCGCTGCCTTCACCCGACCAAATTTTCTGGCAGGAACTAATTTCTCCCTTGTGACCATGCTGCTCCCAGTTCTCCACTGCCTGCGAAGAAAATGAATGCTTGGTAACACAACCTACTTGCACAGACACTTCTGAGGGATAGACTTTTCACAGTCAGTTCTGGTTTACACGGTTATCTCACTGGCTAGATCTCTCCAGAAGAGTCACAACAATTATTAGAGTCCTGAGAAACATGATTTATGAAGTCAGGCTGAAAGAACTAGGATTATTTAGTTTGGAGAAGAATTACTGGGGGAGGGATTTGATAAGTCTTCAAATACCTGAAGGGTGGTTATATATAGAGCAGCATTTCTCAACCTGTGGGTCATGACCCAAGTCGGACATGAGAATATATGAAAGGGTAGCAAACAAACTTTAAAAATGGATTTTCCTTTAAAGGAGAAAAACATGGGAAACCATGGCTTCTCCCTTGCAGGCTGGTATAGTTCCAGCCTGCAAGGGGTTGCTTGAGCCCCCCTGTCCCACAGGCTGGGGGCTGGGACCTGGCGACGAGGGGCAGTTGGTCAGGAGTGAGGGGCACTAGGTCAGGACTGGCCATCAGTGTTTATAAATAGGTCTTGGTACAAAAAAGGATGAGAACCACTGATACAGTGGATGGCGGTAGACTATTCTCTGTGACCACAGGAGACCGGGGGAGAGGGAGAAGAAGCATGACCTTAAATTGCAGCAAAGGCAATTTAGGTGGGAAAAACTTTCTGCCTGTGACGATGGTTAAGCATTGGAGCAGGCTACCCAGAGAGGTTGTGGAATTTTTTGGAGATTTTTTTTAAAAGCAGGTTAGACAGATAGATGCTTGACTGGGATGGCTTAGTTAGGGATGATCCTGCCTTGAGCAGGGAGCTGGATTGGTTGATTTTTATCTGTTGTAGGAAACTTTGACTAATTCAGATGGTCAAATCAAATAAAGGCAAGAGTATAGGTAAAAGGACATATCCTTTCAAGGGTGCTGTAGGGCACCATTGCTGTGTTGGCACTGTTAGGTGTGCATACATGATTTACACAATGAGCCCAGAGATTTCAGATAGGAATCCATAGGGTTAAGAACACTGTTGCCTTTTGTGGTCCTTCAGAGTTCTTTGCTACAGAAGAATTGCTCTTTTCTTTTCTTGTAGTCAAAGAAAAATTGGAAATTAAGATCCGACACTTGCCTAGGGGTTCCCTGAGTCTATCCTGGGGTGCCTTGAGTCTATTCAGCATCAATAAGATCTAAAGAGGTTGAGAACTGCTGTTCTAGATGCTTTAGATCTTCAGACCTCTTGGGAGTGCAGGCAGAAACAATGTTATCCAGGTAAACTCCTTTGAAGCCCCCTCTACTCCTTCAAAACTATCTAGCAGCCTCTGAAACCCAAGAGGCATGATTTATGAACAGAACTGTTACAGCTGGACTTGTCTGTCTACCCCGTGCTTCTGTGGATTGGGGGTTGTCTTATTAGAATTGTATTTCTCACTTTTTCTTGGTGAGCAGGAAGCTCCCTCAAGTGAGCATCGTCATTGTCTGTGAAGTTTCTGCCTTCATTTTTCAAATAGTTGTTGTTTGTACTTGTACAAGAGATGATTGCCCAAATCTGAATCAGATCTTCAAAGGACTGCTAATTTATCTGATGCACAGACTTTTCTCAAGCTCCCACAGGATGAAGCGTAACCAGAGTCTTGCCAGTGTTTGCCCTTGCCATCTAGAACTTGATGTGTACGTGGTGAAACCTGACTAGTACAGGTCAGGTTCATTCCCAAAAGCTGGAGAAACCTAAGGTATTCACTTGAGAAGAAGACTCAAAAAGTGGAGGCTGACAGAGGGGCAAGTGGCTGAGGCCTGCAGCATAATGTTGGGATGGAAGCAATCAAAGGACAAATCTTCCTGTCTTCCAGCAAAGGGTGTGAGCTTTGTTGGATTTTTAGATCAAAATATGTTGCCAGGATATGCCAATAAAATTTAACTTGGATCCCCATGGCTGAAGAGAACACTGCAGAAGTTCATTTTAATGCTATAAAAGAAATGAGTAAATGCAGCAATTTTTCTCTCCCCTCACTCCTCTGTCTTGATCTTGGTGTTTAACTCTCACTGTTGTCCTCATGAACTACTTATCAAATAGCAGTAGCCAAAGGATTAGGGAGACGGTCTTAAGTTAGACTTTAAGGGTGAGTGCCCAGACTGATGACAAGGAGTACAAGTGGCACTGGAACTGGATGCACTCTGATCACTCTGTACCTTGGACTGTTAATAATTTACAGGAATTTATTTGGGGATTTGTCATCCCATGCCAATGCTTTCTCTTTATTTGCTGGCCCAAGGTACAATACATATT